GAGAGTCATAGTTCATAAACTCATGAATCTTCAAAAATTAAATTTGTTTAAAAAATAAAGTTTATTTCAACTTATGTTATACGATATAACATAACTCGGGGCAGTTTATCACGCTTTATAAACCGCGAAGATTTCAACATAAAATGAAATAAGCCACATTCCTTTTAATTCAATTTCAGTGTAGAAAATTAAACAATTTTTCCTCCGGAAAATGGCTTCACATTTATAATTATCAAATCTTAAAAGTAACGTTAAAGGGAGTAGTATGTTTTTGACGTGAATCATTGTGACAAGTTATGTTATAAATACGAAATGGAAAACATCTTGTACCAAATCAAATGACGCGTTACAAACAAAATTAAATTATTTCTTAATTAAATCTTCTGTCCTGGATCACTTACATCGTTTTTATTCCCGTTTAACAAAGTTTAAAAAAGGAATAAATTCCTTGTTTGAATCACCTTAGCCTACATGTAAATGTTTCCTACTGATAACAAACTTATCTTCATTTCATTTGAAAATCAATTAAATAATTCTGCTTAAAATCATTTAAGTACGTTAGAATTCTAAGTACAACACTACAAAATTAGATATTTTCTAGGGTAATTTTCAAAGTTGGAAAAAAATATTGGTTTGTGTGTACATATATAATTTCGTAGTTTGAAAATTTTAATAACAATATATATGAATCTTCAAATTTCGTAGTGATCATGCATTCGTCGAAGAAAAATGCCAGGATAATTCTTTAAAGTATGGAAATGCCATTTGTTTTTTTTTCAAACATTGCCTTCAATGCTTTAAAAGGAAATTTTTGATCCACCTGTTATCTAAATTAAGATAAAACACCCTTTGTTATTCAACATTCAATATGTATCGTTACATAATTTGCCCTTTCACAAACAAAAAAAGTTTATAAGATCAATACTTAAATGGACTGAGTATATTTTGACAAAAATTAATTGAATTACCTTTTCTTATAAATACCAACCGTACTGATAATATAGAAAAGGGTTACATATATAGAATGTACTTACATAAAAATATCCATGCAGGAAGGAGTTAATAGGCTGTTAAAGCGAGCTGGTGTCTTACATTTGTTGACCTTCAATTTCGGCATATATCGTAATATAATTCACCTGGAGAGCGGGTCATCGGTTAATGCCCCCCTTCTGTGTTAGATTCTTATTACGTGTACTTAAAATTCACTTATACTATCTGATTCTTATGTTTTCAGAAGTCACAGTTTCCTCTACTCACAGTATTTCATCCAGATATTTGAATATGTTCAATGTCTAAATTCTATCATAATGAAAAGGTAAAGGGTAAATTTGGAATGAATAAATCTATAATGATTCATTTTTTTACTTGCATTTAAATTTTGAATCGTATTCACATTTTGAAATATATCTTCATCACCCCATTTATTCCCTATCCATTCCTTTTTCAAACACGACAACATCGTTCATGGTAATTTAGAATGATTTAAAAAAAAAACATGAGAAAAAAGACCCTAATGCATCAGTTGAATTTGATAGTATATAGAGATAACATAACGGACGGTATAAAGGCACCAAACTCAATTGAAGCAATATAAAGAAGAGCAATAAAAGAGCAGATACGGCCCTTTAAAACATCAGTGGTGGGATCCGATACCACAGAAGAGTAAGCTTCTCATGTGAACCAGTTTTTACAACCGTCCTGTACTTCTTGTCATGATCGGGCCAGTCCAAAAATCTGTAGACAGTACCTTGTGTAAATAATGTCTTCAAAGTTTGTATGAAAAACGCCAGTAAGCGTTCGACTTCATAATGATAATATACTTCGATTAAAATCAAAAGAAAATGGCCAAAATGTTAACTAATAGTTTACACATTTTCTTGCCATAAGATAAAGAACAATAGGACGAGTAATAATTTGGACGCTCAGAGCATTAATTCCATTTCTATCATTTTAGATGATGTAAGACTATAAATGTTATCTGATACATTTAATACAAGTGACCAATACTATCAGTTGTTTTCTGTTTTAATTCCCAATATATCCGTCCTCGATATTAAAACATAATTATCTTTCATAAGAAAATAAAAGAATTCAATATTTTTTTTCATATAAGGAATTTGAGATAAATAAAATCAGTTATTACAAAGGCATGGTCTGTTTATCTTTCATCTATTTTAATGCCGCTATCAGCCAATAACTAATTCTATATAAGTATGAAATAAATAAAAAAAAAGGAGGGTATTCTTTTTTTAAGATGAACAAAAATATACGTGAAGCTTTCTTTTGCCAAATTAAATTGTTGCAAAGCATGATTTTGGCTAGAGAGTCAGCTCTTGAGCCGCGATGTAAGGCGTCAATCCTTAAGATGCGGGTTCCAACCCAACTGTTTGAAGTGGTGACAAGTTCTTCGGAAGAGACCGTTTAAACCAAGGTCCCGTGTCGCAGTAGGTGCTGGCACGAAAAAGATCCCTCCCCGCAAAAAGGCTCCGAGTGTCGAGGACAACATTTATAGCTCTCCACAAGGAAGTTGTGGCGTCTCCATATGAGTGAAACATTCTCGAGAAGGGCGTTAAACAATATACAACCAGTCAATCACATTTAGTAATATACCCAAACACATTTATCATATTCTGACTTGTCTTTCATTTAGAGTTCAGAGGGATATATTGGGATGTATTTCATAAGGTAGCAATGCAATAAACATGAACGTCTAATTAATATGAAAACAAAAAGTCTGTCATAAACGAGGCTCAATCACTACACATAGACCTGGTCTCCAAGAAATTGCCCATGTGAATTGTCAATTATGACAATATTTACTGAAGCATCGTTTAATTCGTGGGCATTATACTATGTAAATTTTTGTTTTTCATAAAATAATATAAAACACACTGATTAAAGGCAGGCCACACTAGTACATTTGTACTACATCTTGTGATCTAAAAAACATTTCCTCTCATAAAGTTTCAACTAAGAGGCACTTAAAAACACCAATGAAGTTAAGCTTAATTTAGTTTTTTTTTTAGGAAACACTCTTATAACTGTCAAGTGTTCTACATGCATTTATCACATTAATGTCCTTGACTTCCTTATTGCCTACATTTATAAATTATAATTTTCATTGGCTGGTTGAAATTGTGGCTTCTTAAAACAAGTAGGATCATGTAGTTACGATAGTTTTGTCCCTCTTATAAAATGTTCCCCTTCATTTTCCTCCAAAGTAAAAATCCTTTTGAATGGAATTACATCAGCATTATAGACTGACAAATACCAAAGTTGCATGGTATTTTGATGGGAATATCCTTTGAGATGTAGTAGCAATATCGAGGTATGTCTGTCAAAAATATACTTAAACAAGTTGATTTTTTAAAATAAAATCGTTTCATTTTTTTATTTATTATAAAATGCACTTGGTTGAGCACAATGTTTGAATATTTGCATTTATTAAAACGAATGTTAAAGTCACATACATCTTCAACAAAAGGCGAAATCTCCTCTAATCTAAAGCATTGATGTGATTCCTACAATTTCTTATTGTAGGAAGTCTGTAAACATATCAATATTAATCTTAAAGTGAAGTAAAAATAAGGGTAAAACTTTTTTCCGTGCATCAGTAAATCTTAAATTAAAAAAAATAATACTTTGTGAAGATTTGTTTTATTGAAGATCTAAACGAAGGAAGCAAGGCGTACAGAAATTTGCTATAGAATCATACCATAAAATTGATTTTCATAGGGTATATATATTATAATTCATGGGCCATTTTAAAAATCAAGAGTCCATTTCCTATCTTTTGCATTAAATATCAACCCTAGGTGCAGATTTTTGGCAATAATGAATGATAAAGTTTCATTTATTTTGAAGCACATCAAATGGTATTCAAACGTTTCCCTTCTTTGTAGAAGTCAAACAAACATGATTGAATCTGAAGCAGTCTACTTGTGATGGCATGATCATGTTGACAAATTCAAAACCATAGATTAAGGAGTCTGTTCTCCTGTGATACTTTTCCTTGTGAAAGTGGTAAAATAATCGTGCAATAGTACGTTGTTAATATTCACAAAAATCATGACACATCTGTGTAGAGCATTTCTGTAAGAAAATGAGAAGTTATGCAGATATAACATACATACTATATTTGAATATGGATTAATGTCTGTAAAACTGCATTTCATTTCTTTCTCGTTTTAAGCAAGTTAATGATTAGCGCTACATCTCAGTCGAAACAAAAGGGACTGTATTTAACAGCTACATGTACGCTAATCGACGGAATATAAACCATATCAGACGTAAAAATTATTGAAAAAATGATAAATTACGTAAAATATGAATTTCAAATATCTCGGTATGAAGATTTCTTTTTTGCTGATTATTTCCTGATATGTCATTTCTATTTTGTAGAGGTTTTAGGGATGTATGTCATCTTCAGCAAACTGGCTAACCAGAGATAAAATATTGCCACTAAATACAAACAAGTTTAGATATTTTTTGACAATTATTGTACTTTTTTTTAAATAAAATATTTTCTACGTTTTCGACTTCTGTTATTAATTTGTTGGTGCAACTCATTTCAGGTAAAAAAAAATTGCAATTAAATGATTTGTTCTCATTTCAATAGAATATGGTATCTAATTCTCCTTTCAAGACCTAGTTTGAATTTAATTTTTCACACTGCAATCAAAAGTTTTCGGTTAAACACCATCTTAAGTAATTTTTTGTTATCATGAGTAAAATTTACTAATTTCAAAACTTAATGTATTAAATACAGCGCTAATTTCTATATTCTTCTCGGAAAAATAATAAAATATGCATTTCGAAAGGAATGAGGTTTTCAATTTTCCATTATCTTGTTTGCAGCTTGTAATCTTGGTACTTATGGAAAGGATTGCAAAGAGGTATGTGGGCATTGTGAAGGCAATGAACCGTGTAATCACATCAATGGATCGTGTCCAGGATAGTATTCTGGCAATTCAGTTTATTTTTCAAATATAAAAAAAAAAATTAATAAAAGGAGAAAGAAAAACGTAAAATAACCAGTATCGAATAATTAAATATGATTTTTTTTTTATCTTATACCTTTAAACGTTTTCACTCAAGAGCATGAAAGTGTTTTTTAGCGAAATTGAAAAAAAAATTGCTCTTTAAATGGACCCATTTGATTTCTCTTTATATCTTACAGTTAAGATTTTAAATAATCATATTTGTAGGAGTAACCGGCATGGCAAAGTGGCAAGAGCGTCTGCTTTAGAGTCGCGAAGTAATAAATCAAACCTTAACGTCGCGAATCCCGCTGTGGAATGTGGAGAACGGTCCTTTGGATGATACCGCATAAACCGAGGTCCCGTGTCGCTGGCACAAACAAGATCCAGACTGCTCGATGGCCTAAAGTGCCGACATTTTTTTTTAAAATCTGTAGTTCTCCACGGGCAAATGGTAATGTCTCCATATGAGTGAAAATTTTACGAAAGGGGCGTTAAGCAACATACATCAATTAATCATATTTATCGGAATATTTTTTTTAATATGACACAATATAAATTCATAAAACTTGAGTTAATTTGATTCTTATTTACTTAATATTAACAATTGGCAAACACGCCAGATATTGAATAGGTGTAAATTTTGCCTTTTCAACCATTGAATATGAGGGAATAAAACTATTTCAACTCTTAATTTTTTAGCTTGTAGTCCTGGGTGGTATGGCAGAGAATGTCAAGAACAATGTGGTTATTGTGATGGTAGTATGACGTGTAACCATGTCACAGGATTCTGTCCTGCGTTATGTCAGCCTGGTTATCATGGGAAGAAATGCAGCGAAAGTATGTAAATTAAGTGAGACATTTAACTTTTTTGAGTTAAAAAATTAAAACAATTAAAAATGACGTATGTATAAAGAAGTGTGTTTAGTTTTAGCCTATAATTATAGTTAAGAATTGTAAAAAAGAGTTCACTAAGTCGTGGAGTTTTGAAAAAAAAAATAAGCAAAGATCTTACTTTAGAAAACCAAAGTTTTACTGTGGAATATAAAACTTTTACTTTTTGATTGTTAGTTTTGGTTTATAGGAATCTGAACTTCATTTGCATTACATTTATTATTTTTATCTTAAAATTTTTCAATTTAGCAAGTTATTCTAAAAAATGTCTTTTTCTAATTTAGTCTGCAATGACGGTTGGTACGGTAGGGAATGTAAAGAACCGTGTGGTTACTGTAGAGGAAACAGACCATGCCATCACATGACCGGATCTTGTTTGGCGCTCTGTGAACCTGGGTATCACGGGGATAAATGTAAAGAAAGCGAATTTTCTCAACTTCTTGCAATACTGAGACAAATGCTCAACCCCCTTAGAGAGCTGTATTCTTTTAAACGACGAAGAGTTGGACTGATTGCGAACATCACTTCCCCCACTGACCTCAAATAAAAAAGATATTACTATATTGTACTGATATTACAATATGTTTTCCCCGAGAATGTTTCGTGTTAAGTTTCTTCTTTATACTATATCATTCTTTAAAATGCACAGTTTCCTTAAATTCATACCACTTTCTTTTTGATTGCCACACTTTATTTTCTTTCCTTCAAGTGTACTAATGTTATGTATTTTAGTCATCAGGAAATAAAAAGCAGATGTTTATAATTGACGATTGGTGTGTTTTTTTTTCGGCTTGATCACTTTAAATAAACCCCATCTCTAGAAATGCAACTTATGCAAAACAACCTGATTTTTTCGGATAAATGAAATTGACTAATGACTGTCACTTCGTAAAACATACATCCTTTTTTAGTTTCGAAAGCCAAAAGTTTATGAATTAAATGCTAACAATAATTGTGCCCAAAATATGGAAATGATGGGGAAAAATCGTCGTCAATTGTGTTTAAAAAATGATCTCACATTTAGTATGAAAAACGTCAGGCAAATTTTACTTAAAGATGGATTGCTTTTGGTGAAAAGATCATTTTACTGACAATAGAACTTACAGAATGATGACTGAAATGGAGACTGTGGATATTCTTGTTTCTTCAACTTGTTTATTAACAACTTACCTCCTTTTAGGTAATATTTTTATGTAGGGCATGCTCATGCTGATCGATTAATTTAAGATATATAAATTTCGTATGAAGTCGATGAAGATATATTTCTGCATAACTAAGGGAAGCCATCACATTTAACATAGAGCTTTGTTGTTGGATTACCATTAATGTCTTTTTCAAGTAAAATACCATATATGAAACAGATATTCCAGAAACTGTGGTATTTTTTTTTTATCTCAAACTCATTAGGATATATAGAATCGTCAGAAGAACGGAAATTACAATTGTTAATTAGCAATACGCATAGGCGTCGGGAGCAAATTGCAAGTGGATTGGCTAATTGGGGGGGGGGGGGGGTAATGCAACATAAAAAAGGTAAACCAATATTTTCAATGGATATATTATGTATATTTTTAAAAAAAAAAGTGGGCTATGCATAAATTCATATGCTAATCCAGGCGCTGACAATAGTTTCTAACTGACCAATCAGCTAAATGAATTACGAGTGAGTAGTACAAAATGTTCCCGAATGTCAGTGAATACTAGTTTCATGTGCATTTCTTGACCCAAAACCGTAGAGGCTGAGAATCCATCAACAATATTATTAAGAATAAACAACCTTGGCTCAACATTATGAAAGTGTGAAAAGTAGAGGTGGATAACGGGTAAATTGACCCAAGCCACGTGTCTGTGATAAAATGTAAACATGTGGTAAACCAGAATGTTTCGTCCTTCTGTCATCAGATTGGACAATTGTTCTCGGTAAGCGATTATTTGCGAAATATTAACAATTAACATATAAGGTAAACGCCTGGGACATACATATCCCTAAATTGTACTAAGACCCGCCTATTCTCTTACCATAGAAGAACATTTGTCACAAACCAGACCGAATTTTGCAATTATACGGTTTAAAAAATCATAGATAATTCAGCTTTTTGTATGATTAAAATGTGTCTGAAATATTGAAACTATTCAAATGGCGTCGTATTTATTCAGTCATTTTTTAAAACTATCAAAATCGTTCTAGATTAAATATAATTCGTCGGTGAAAAATGGACCCCAGAAAACAGTTATGTCACATCATCCTTTGAAATAATAGAAAACGCTTACATATCAAATTACAAATCGAGGAACTGAAGTGGAGAATTCAATTTCTCTTAAATTGTCTTAACATTATATTATCAATTAATCCCAGAGAAAAAAGTTAGTTAGTACAACGTTATTTGATTATGCCATTATGCATTCAAATGACTTGAGGACGTTACGGATTATATCACTTATTCTACAAATGTTGTTAAAGTTTGTGTGTTTTATTTTCATTGAATAAAATCACTTGAAATCAATCAGTTCCACTTTCTTAGAAAAACGGTTTCATCTGTAAACTTTGATCGTGATGTGAATACGGATTTGTCATGTGATCAAGTCCAAAAAAGCCTGTAGGGATTGAATAAATAGATCACTGTTTTTACTGTGGATATGCAATTTTCTAGAACCCAGATCTGTTATATTCTGGATCCAATAAAGCACAAAGCCATTTAAATTACCTTCTTCCTTCATAGAAGGTCTGCTGAAATAGCCTAATAAGATAAGATAAAGTTATTGAACTTACATTGGTGAATATTAGCACGAGTCGGTTGTTGTATGAACTTGCGAGTAACAACAATTGTAAATATTCATCAAGTTGAAAATAGGTTCAATAACTCATAGGTTCATCTTATAGAGTTATGACATTTGCCATTGATTTCCATTAATAATTTTATTACTTAAACTGTAAAGTGAAATTAATGAGAAGTTTCCAGTGTAAGCTAGTATTCAAATTATAACTGTCCAAAATACGATATTTTCCTTTTAATGTTTAATATCACATAATTCCAATGATGGTACCAAGAGTTACGATTGATTTATTGAATTTTATGACTTATCGGTCTTCAATTAATACATTGTATTTACTCCGTAATATACAATTAAAAAAAAACACCGAAACAACGTTTATTACTCTTGATAAAATTTTCACTGAGTGGTTATGCCACAGGTATTGCTGAAATATCTGATTGATTGTTCTTCCGTCATTAGTGTTGTATCTTTCAATGTTTTCACGTGCCAGAGCATAAAAAGAAAATGTTGATTTCATTGTTTAGATATATTTAAACATCTTCAGAAGCTGAATTTGATATTTAATTTTTTTTTAAAAAATCTTGTCTGGTTGAAACAAAATGATTTTTCACAGTATTTTTGTTCGTATTTTGTTTATACTCTGATGTTTCAGAATATTGAGTTAAGTTAACGTCATTAACATTCAAAAGCTCTGAGCTTAATTTAAAGAAAATTGACAGCCTTATTTTTGTAACTTGCACAGAAGTGGAAGATATGGCAAGGCGTGTAACTATTCATGTGGACATTGTGCCAATAATTCAACATGTAACAATGTAACCGGTTAGTGCCCTAATAAAAAGTGTGTACCTGGATGGAAAGAAACATTGGACTGGAAATGTGATAAAGGTAAGCAAACTTTAAATTTTCTCCTATCATTATTTGTAATAGAAACAAAATATGTAGATTTTTCAATTTTCCAAAAATGGACAGATTCTCTATGCATGAATTTTTTTTTTACTTTTTTTATTGTTTGACATAAAATTTTATTAAAACCAATGTTCATACTTTATAAAGAAAGAAGTCATTAAATACATTTTTTTTTTCAAAATTTCGCTGAAATTCTATACCAGATATTCGTGTACAAAAAATTAATTCTTTAAAATTAATCAAAAATTTATTATATTGCTCTGAACATAAATATATTTCTAGAATGCCAGAGAGGTTTCTATGGTAGAAATTGTGGCCTTCAATGTGGACATTGTGGAAACAAAACAACTTGTGATCACGTGACAGGTTCCTGTCCTTCCTGTTTCTGTGAACCAGGTTGGATACATTCTAGCGAGGGAAGATGCAATCAAGGTATATCCTTTTTATTTTTGAGTTAAAATCGTGCTTTTTTTCAAAACATTTTTTTTTTCAAAATTTGAGTTAACTGAAGATTATATCTGCAAATAAAGTCACTGATCAACAACCAAATTCGTTAAATGTTGACTTTTCACTATTGTCGATAAATCTTTATCATCATTTTTTTTTCTCGACAGTAGTCTGCCCCTTTAGAAATTAATTGTATGTAGAATTGAATATTGGCCATATTTGAGTTTTAAAGTCTGTTGAATTTATGAAATTAAATGTTAGCCTTTATTGGTGTCTATTACGAATTAATGGTCTATTTAAATGTATTGATAAACACACACAAGAAAATCATGCAATAACAGACATAGGATGGCATACGTGGCTTCAAAAGAAAGTATTTTTCGTTGATATAATGAAAACTCAAAAAATATGTTTATTTCAATATATAACTTGCATACAGTGATAAATACTGAATTGTCTGTTTGAATACGGATTAACTATATACATGAACCCTTACTGTAGGATCTTTCGTCAATTAAACTTAAATATTCAGACTTAATGGTTTATGTTTGAAGCACATAATTACAATAAAACAAAAATCTTCCTGATATTAAATAAACCCTTGTAACATATGCAGAAGATGAAAGATAACAGTTTGAAACTTAAAGTAATAAAAGTACTTTAAATCATTTTTTAAAGCAAAAAATTCGTACTTCACTTACTGCACAGAATAATTAATATGTATTCAGTTTTATAATACATGTAAAGTGTATATTTACTGCAGCATGTGAAGCTGGGAGCTATGGTTAAAAACTGTCTCTCAAAATGTGGACATTGTGTCAATAATGCAACATGTAACCCCGTGAAAGGTTCCGGTCCAGATGGAAACTGTGCACCAGGGTGGATACACAATGTAGACAGGAAATGTAATCAAGGTTTGAAAATTTTATCACGGTGTTAAAATGACATGCAACATAAACGGCAATTTCAGGTAGATATTAGCAGGAGGTTCTTATTCCTCCATGGCACTTGATCCTACCTCTGATGTTTTGGAGGTCGGTGTTTGCTCTGCTATTATTTCGTATTGTTGAATGGACTTTTGATCTTTAAAACTGTTCGTTATCTCCATATATGGCATTGCAACGACGTGAAATTAAACACCTTGAATAATATGATGAAAGTAAGATCGAAAATACATAAATGGTTTCGTTATATGCATCCTATCATAAAAGAATATATACAATAAGAATATCTTATCCGAACTTTGTGAAAAAAAAGAGATAAAAATATTGCAATTGCCCAAGTTATATTTAAATAGAAAAGATACACCTTGTGGGCATCGGGTATTGGTTGATAAGGGAATCTCATTTCGAAGCGTACTAGTATTTAAGTGTATACTCATAAACAGTTATAATATCTATCTGTAAAGGGCCTCAGGTAAAGCAGAAAAGGTCTATGACATAAAAACTTATTCGTTATTTTTCATTCTTTTGATGTTTTCCAGCTTGTAAGGATGGCTGGTACGGCAGAGAATGTAAAGAACGATGTGGATACTGTAGAGGAAACAGACCATGCCATCACGTGACCGGATCCTGTTTAGCGCTATGTGAACCTGGGTATCACGGGGATAAATGTGAAGAAAGCGAATTTTCTCAACTGCTTGCAATACAGAGGAAAATTCTGAACTCCATAAGAAAATTGCTTCCTTTTAAAAGACGACGAGTTGAACCGAGAGCAAACGGCACATCTCCTACTGACTTCATATAGGATATATCTAAAATTTCTGTGGACTTTTCGCTCTTATAAATGCTTTTGACATGATTTTTGTCTTGTTTTGCTAAACTTTAATATTTATATTTTCCAACAATGATATCAGCATAATTTTTGATGAGTTATTCATTCGAGAGATAAAACCATAAAAATATGTAATGTTTTGGAAAATAACTGAAATTAAATAATAAAAGCTCATAATTGTTTGAAAGAAAATAATCTTAATACATGCATCTAATGACACACTTTCAACTAATTCTATATATTTTTTGCATTTGAAAGCAACTTTTAAGATGCTGAGTGTTAATTTTGCTACACTTAGTGGAAACATACATGCTCACTTACGCTGATTACTTCCTTATTGCAGTAGAATTATTTTTTTCATTGGATGCTTTCCTAAGATGGTTTTGTGAAACACTTAAGAAACTTTGAAGGGAAAAAAATGTTCTACTTATTTAAAAGTGTGGTTCTTATACATGTATATCTTTTCTTTTTAATTACAATGAAACATATTTCATATCATTACTTCGACTTTGCATTTTTGCATTTTGCATCTCAGGTCTCAAGTCTGAAAATATTTTAAGCTGGATATTTGTTTATTTTTCAGGATCACTATTGAGGTATGTGTGAATATATAAAAAAATACTTATAGCAAGACTAGCTTTTTAGATATGCCCTGACATTATTGCAGGAACGGTTCTAATTAATTAATTGTTTGGAGAATTGTGTAATAAACGTGCTAAAAATTGAGAGAAAAAATCCAGTGTGCCTTATTTTAGTAAATAGAAGAGAGAAGACAGTTTGTTTAAATAATATGACTTAAATGTTGACTTGCTATGCCTTTGTTGTACATTCAGCATTAATGTGAAACAAGATCTATTTATTTGAGAAAAAACACGGTTCACCTCTTTTATTTTGCTTCAAAATCTCCTGAGGGAAAATTTTCATTTTCTTTGGCGGACTGTAGAAAGTATGTATTCTTTACAGTGTTATTTTAATTTTTGTTAATCAATATTACTACAGTGCGATGTAGGGTAGTTTATGAAACACAATAAGAATTTTTCAAAATTAATATTATATGGGTATTAAAAATACTTTTGTCCAATAAATATGACATCTTTAGTTATATCAATTCTTATCATGATGGATATGGAGACAACGAACGGTATTCAATATAAAATTCCATAAAGAATACAAAATAGAAGGGGAGCTCATTTGGAGAGGACCTCCAAAACATCAGAGGTGGGATCGGGTGAAATGGAGGAGTGAGTATCCGCTGCCAACCGGTCAAACCCGCCGTGTGCTTCTTGTCCTGATCAGTAAATAACGAAAAAATTTGGAAATTAAAATGATATGGGTATGCAAAATACTTTTGCCAAATAAATATGACCACTTTAGTTATATCAATTCTTATCATGAAGGATATGGGGATAACTAAGAGTATTCAGTATCAAAGTCCATCAAACAATTCAAATTAGAAGCAGAGCATAGAACTAACAAAATGATAACTGTAAACGGGACGACTTATATTCTTGTTTCATAAACTTAGTTTGTCAATAGTTTACCACATTATAGAATTTGTTCATACGTAGAGCAAGCTCTTGCATATCAAATCAAATGAGAAATATAAACTCCGTATGAAGTTGATGAAGGTATATTGCTGCATAAGTATCTTACTTCTTTTTCTTAAAACAGGGGGGATTCTTTGCTGATCCGCAGTCACTGGATTGAGTGTTGTTCTTAGATAGAGTAGTAATACTGCATATATAATTGTAATGCGCAGAATATTACATTATATATGCTATAATATCTTTATTCAAGAGAATTGTTTAACAATTATATTTCATTAACGGAAAGAAACCTTAATATACATTTGTTATTTTAACTGTATTTTTAACTGTATTTTCATTGTAATTCCATATATTGTAGATAACGATAATTGAACCTACAACAAATTGACCCCAAGACTGACAATTGGAAAGATAATGTATATCTGAAAACATAGAATCTGAAGAAAGAATATACATTCTAAGATGGCCTGTTCCTTTCGCATCTCTTATGACAACATTTTCAAAACAATATGTTTACATTTTGAAAGTTTCTACATATAACAATTTTATGAAACATTTTATGAAATAAATCATTACAAATTTCACAAGTGTTGTTGTATTTGGGGAAGACGATAAAAAAAAAAATAAAACGGAATTTCATAAACATTATTTTTTAAATCTTTTATCACGCAACTTAGAACATGCTTTTCTGAAATAAAAAAAAAAAAATATGTTAATGATCCCTTTCCTTCGAATGTTATTTGGTATGAATGTATGTTGCATAAATTGCGGACGAATAACATGCAGTATTTGACTGTATATAATTGCAGATTAGTATACATGTATGTAGTGTAAATGCCATGCAGTAAGGATACTATGTTTAAGAAATAGCATGAGGTATAAATCTTTTGCGGAATGAATGCATCAATACTGACATAGAAATCGTAATAAAAAATGTTTTGGAATAAGTTATCGCATGTCGAAAACATTATCAGATTATATAATAATTCTAAAAATCAATATAAATCTTTGTACAATATCAGTGCATTATAAAATATATTCCCTTTGTCCATCCTTGGCTTGTGATATACAATTGAATATTTGATAATAAGTATAATCAATTTGATATCATATTCATTTCTTATTTATATGTATTGAAATATATTAGCAAATTAAATTGCTGTCTATATTGCCATTGCTATATTTCTAGAAGAAGAGCTTAGTTTCTCTCTTCTTAAAGACTAGAAAATTAACAGCTTCTCTCGGGCTGATATTTCTAAAATATTTACCGAAGCAAAAATGTTCTAAATATATAAAAATATTCTGTTTAAAATATTTTTGTTTGGGTGATAAACCATATGTTCGAGAAAAAATTATCTGAGCACATTTAGTTATTACATTTTGTTTTAAACATTTTAAATATTTTTTATCACATTTTACAGAATGTCCGGATGGAACTTATGGAGCCGAATGTAAGTTTATGTGTAGCGAGGGTTGTCTCTCAGTGTGTGATAAAAAGAACGGGACCTGTAAGAAATGCAGAGAAGGATACACGGGGAGATTCTGTATCGACGGTATTGTATTAAGCTTAATGTAATATGTCAGTTCTATTCATAACTTACATATCGGCTCAGCCTGTTTTACATTGTTCTTAAGTTGTTGCCATTTTTATGTACATCATATACTTTTTTTTAAAAAGTTGTACATGTACATAACCTATTTTAAAAATGTTGTTTGTATTTTTAATCATGTTGCATGACTAACTGATTGGAGGCAAGCATGAAATATGACAATTTACATAAACTTTATATGATTATATTATGTGAAATAGAACGAATGTGTCTTCATTACATAAAACGAAATAGGTATTAAAAAATTAACATAATTATCAATCGACTGGAATGAATTTCATATCTCTAAAAAATCATTTCGGATATTTTGACCGATTCTTGTGAATGTTTGACAAATATTTCCTGATCATTATAATTACAACATGAATATTTTTTCATGTACCTCATAGATTTATTTTAAATTTTACAAAGAGAAAAAAAAACATATTTAATGAAATATTAAATTTGAATAAAATAATTTACGGAACTGTATATGTATCTTTGTTTCGTGTTACAGCTCATGCACTTCAACGGCGGATAACATCTATAGTCGAAGTGGCGGGAATTACCACAAGTGTTGCCTGTTTCAGCATACTGTTTGCACTGGCTTTGAGAAGGTACTTTAATAACAATGAGCATTTAATTGCCACTTGTCTAGTGCTCTCTTTGTTAAGTCGAGAAGTGTTGTCACTTTAAATGTTACATTGTCTAAGCCGTGTGTTAGTCGGTTCTCATCAACAGCAGTGAAAAATTATGTCTCTTAAAAATCTTACGATATCATATGAGAAAAAATAAATTTTCATTCTTCAAAAATTTTACATGAATAGCTTAAATACATATATTCAACAAACATCGATTTTTTTGAAAAAGATTAAGTAATTCATTTGTATGATTTTCAACATTTACGTCTGGTGAGTATTTTATCGATACTGTAAAATGACTTATGTCAAGAAGTCAAATTTCCGTGCTTTAAGGAAAAAAATTATTTCTTCCAGGGAATTTGAAATCGTAGTTTAAAAACAATCTACTGTACTGTAGTATGAAATTGTAAAATTTCAAGAGGGAAAAAAGTTAGTGGATCTCTAAATACCACGAAAACAACGAAAATTACGCCCATCGCAAGGAAAAGTATTTTATTCACAATGAATAATTTTAAGAAGCCTTGATTTTTAATTTACAACGTCATGTGTTTTACAGTTTTGCAGAGCAGTGTGTGTAAGAAATATACATTCAATGCTAAATTTCATACTTCACTATGTTTTTTTTTTTTGGTTTGCATTTTTTTACAGGGAGAGATTAGCTGCTATGTGAAATGAAATCCAGAACCGAACACCGGAATGCAAATCACCAAAACTAGAAAAAGATGCCCACTCTTAGTTTTATAAGTGTTAAAACGCTTATTTTTCCCTTGTTTGTCAAGTTTGCCCTATGTATGTAATTATAAAACCAACATTTATAAAAAAAAATTGAAACTGAGTTATGCCAGATGTTTATATCCTATTGTATTGAATGTTCTCCCTCATATTCTTAATACAGTAATATACATTCTGTTTTAATGCTTGTGTTAATTCACAAATTAATCAGATGTATTTTTGTTTCAAATTAAGTAAACTTTTAGAATTTTATAGGGAACACTGATTGACATCCCTCCCAAAACATTTGTATAATTCTTTTTCTGTTATTTTTAATTAAAAAATAACTGCAAAAATAAGGAATTATTTCTTTAAAAAGTTCTATGAAAGCCTTTTCTTACTGAAAAAGACTCCTTTTTCATGTATTTTTAACCATATTTTTATGCATGCATTATAATAAATATAATAAATTTCAAATTTAGCCTTGTTTTCTGTTATCCTTTACATATATAGACAAATTTGAATTGATCCATGCGAAGCCTTTTTGATTGGGTTAATAGATATACATTTTACAAATTCCGTCCGTTGAATGTTAACAGCAAGATATGGAAAGAATCCCTGTATTATTTAACATTGTTGTTTTAAGTTTACTGAAAGCCAGTTTCACAATTTGTTATTTAATGTATGTTCTTACGGTGCATTACTCCTGTCATTAATTTGTGACATTTTAATTTCACCAATATAATATATATAATATATAATTCTAAAGTGTTCAGCAGGAATGCTGAACACTTTAGAATATTATATATATATATATATATATATATATATATATATATATATATATATATATATATATATATATATATATATATATATATATATATATATATATATATAATCTAAAGTGTTCAGCAGGAATTGTCAATGGATCTACTTTAATTTTACAAAATGTAACTTAACTCCAAGATACACTTTCTATATCTAGAGTACAGATATTTAAGTGCCTACTAATTGTTTTATCAAGTTTACGTGTTCCTACTTCTAATATATTTACACAGATCTTATCGTAGATAGGTGTAAAGTTAAAAAAAATCGTTAATACTTTTGTTTATTCAGAACAAAATACATTTAGGTTATTTGCTTAAGTTTTTAAAGTAAAATTTTGTTTTATAGTGGTTTAGCTAATCTTACGGATTTTTCCGACTTCCGATGATGAACACAGGTTCTTGTAGACAAATCCCCCCCTTCTCCAGTTTCCAAACTGGATCGACATACCTTTTCTTCTTATAATGTGAAATGCAAGTCGGTTTCTTTTTCCTTTTTTTATCTTTTCAATTTTTCATTATTTCCCTTTCTTGATAGGGCAGGTGTGACCAGTCCACATGGGATGCTCACTTTTCTATGACACCTGATCCCACTAAATAGGCAGGTAATGGAAGTGAACTGTGAATTGAACGATGAAAGAAATCTGAAATTATGGTGTTCACCATAAAGTTTTGTTTTTAAGTTACCATTTACTTTTTCTTGGAAAAATATTTATGTATGAAACATATGAATTAGACTCTGTGGGATCATTTATTTCGAGTGGATCCATCAAATGAGAGTTGGAACAAAATCATATTTTAAGGGGAAAAGTGTCCTTATTGCTTATCCGTTACTTGATAGCCCCAAGCAGCGAAATATTTTGTCTATGTTTGTTTTCCAATAAAATGGGAATATTTCTATCATAGGTTAAATTGATATTTCAAAATAGATGTCATGATTATCTTCAGAGAACTTTTCTTTCTCCTTGAACCTGGATTACCCCATACATGTTCATTCACAGAGGTGTTATTCCACGTTAAGAAACTACTTACTGGGCATATTGCTTCAATATCAGACTTTCTAGTTATGTCGCCCCGAACGAATTTGGGTGACATATTGGGATCGTACGCATGTTTTTTTTCTCCAGGCTGTTTCTCGGAGATGGCTAGAACAATCTTTCTGAAACTTTCTGAAACAAAGGAGGATCAGTAGTTGTAGTTGTATTCTGTGGTCATGCAGTTTCAAAATGGCTACAGGTGCTATGAAAATCTATAAAAAAACCGACGAATTTTGTCCGCGTTTTTTTTTTCTGGTCCCTTGAACATTCTTCATAAAATTTTATTTATGTAATGATTAGTATCTGTAATTGTGCTCATTGAATTTAAAAATTGCAAATTGTCGATAGTTTCCATCGAAACTACTTTAACTTGGATTTTTAAATCAAAGTACTTTAAGGACTGATTCGAGTTGATGGTTTTTCCAAGCTTAGCTAATGTGTATTGTTTTAGTATTGAAAAAATTAAAGTCTATCTCCAGATCGGGGTGACATACGCTATTGATTGCAATAGCAGACCTTCTCATTAAGGCCTTTTGTCTTCAGCATGAGACCTTACTTTTATTCTTAGGTTTCTTTTCCATTATATTTATTATTGTTTATTTTTTCCCACCGATTTTGTGCACGCGATTTCTCAGAAACGACTTGGTCGATTTTTATGAAACTTTCAGGTCAGGTGGAGAATAAAAAAAATACTAAAAAGTCATATCGCGAATTTCAAAATTTCGAACTCCCTTTCTAAAATATCTTTTTACCTGGAAGTATATTGTAAATACACATAGAACAAAAGAATTGTAGAATTCTAAGATCTTTGAAATAATAGCTCGGAAAAAGGGCTGGTTCCTAAAAAAAAGGGATCTAGAGGGCCAGAATTTTTTTTTCCTGATATCTTTTAAAGTATTAAGAATTTGTTAAATATTAAAGAAAGCAACATTGTTTAAAATTTAAAGCTAAATCTATTGGGGTCGTCAGACTACGTCCGAGTGCGAAACTTCCGATCAAACTGGGAGTAGTTAAAAATGCATATTTTTGCCGGACTTAACAAGTTTTTATGTAACATATGTCACTGGAAGCATAAAACTTTATTTCCCGTCCGTCAACGACACTTCCGGTCAAACCGGAAGTAGCAAAAATTGCTTTCTTTTGCAATAATTAAGATTAATTTGGAGGAAACCATTTTTGGACGCCATTACTTTTTTTCCTTAAATGAAAGTTACTCTCGGTCAAACAGGACGGAAGTCCTACTCGTTAATTTGCAACGAGCTTTACTCTAGTTATTATATTATTATTTTTTTCTTATTTGTTCTCAAGTACTTTTTTGTCCGCTTGTGTTCTCAGAAACTGTTCACCCAACAAAGTTTATACCTTTTTAGGGTTAATACATTTGTACTGTAGGTGTGCGGAATGGAGGTCATTTTGAGCTCATATGCATGCACGTGCGTGAGCTTAAAATGACTTATATACTTAATTAAGCTATAACTTTTATATTTTTTGATGATATGCTTTAAAACTCATTAAAAAAGAATAAATGGACAGTAAAGGTAATATGACATTGTCAAATCAACATGAACACATGCGCATGCACGTGCACTTCGCTCTAATTGGCTGAAACAAAAAACTCAATTTCTTTTTTGTTCTTTGACGAAATGCTTTGAAATTTAAAAAAAAAGTCGTGCATAAGAATATCCTACATTATGATATATAATAATTGTCATGATATCACGCGCATGCATATGCGCTGCAATTTGATTGACTAAAACTTTTTATGCCTACATGTATAACTCCCTTGCTTTTCAACCAAAGAGTATGGGATGTAGAACATATATCACAGGATGAAAATCTACCATTCAGTCGACTGAATGGTAACTGAATGCCCACTGAATGGTCACCGAAAGGTCACTGAAAAGACCCGTTCCCGTGACCTTTCGGTGATCATTCAGTTACCATTCAGTCGACTGAATGGCACATACATTTCAGTGACCTTTCAGTTATCAATCAGTTGCATCTCTTTATTTAATAATCGGTTTATTTTCGAACTAAACATTTAAATTTTTTTTCTTCATATAATAGCATTCAATTTATTTAATTCTGAATAAAAAAGGAGAAAAAAATTAACGCAAGAAAAAAAAATGTGCACAAGGCAAGAATCGAACCCAGGTTTCCTGCTTGATTTTCTGCGACCTTTTAAATTACGCTACAACTTCTTGTTGAATAGGTTGGATTTAAAATCAATCAATTTGTAGAAATCAATGGGACAATTGGTTCACCTGTTGTATCGAAGAGCTGCAATGTGTATATATCTTGTATATCTTTTGTATATTGTATGTTAGTTGTGTGGATTTTGAGAGACTGATTAATTACACAGCTCCTATCGGGATGATTACAATTATCAGCGACAGGCACTTTTCCAGTGTCAGAGATTTGAGATCGTTGTTAAATATCGTTTGCGAATGTTAACCTTAGTTTATCGGCCCATAATAAAACGTTTGCGATGGATTTTGTTGATAAACATAGGTTCACGTCTGTAAACTATAAATTACAATCGTGAACTATAAGTTAAGAGTTGTTAATTATAGTTTCTAAAATCCGTAATAAAACGTTTACAGTGGATTTAGTTGATAAAAATGATATGAATACTCAACTAATTAAGCTCTTTCACATGGCATTAGAGTCAATGACACGCCCTTATGACCTCTACCATTAACCATTAGCTAAAAATAGCCTTTTCAAACTTTCCCCTTAGCTTTCAAACCTTAAGAGATAGATGCTTCATTTTAAGTATGCATATTCCACTTATTACGCTGTGACCTATATGTTAAAAATAGTTTTTTTTTTCATATGCATTCGTCACCAAACACTGACGAAGGCTTCATATTCAGACCTTAAGTCGCAACTCATAACAAGTGTGCAGTGACGGACCTCTATTGTGCCAAAGTCTGTCGTTACAAGGAGCCTCGGTTTTAACATCTTCGCTAGCCAAGAGGTTCTGATGGCAACACTCTTCTAGTAAGCCCTTGCTAAACGTCGTGTAAAAAAGTTTGTTTTTATTCCAGGTTGTGATTTGAGGGGATCTATATTGATATCGATTTCTTTCAATTACATTTTCTTGGTTCGTGACATATTTTGACTCTTACTCTCGGGATGAAAATCACAATAATCAATAATTAATTGCTATTCTATGAATAAATATGGTGTCATCTAAAATCTTCTGAAGATACTAGTATGTGCAAAACATGAACTACAATATTGAATTTATATTGAAACTTTAAATCTGCACTTTAAAAAACAAATTAAAAAACTAATACTTTCTTATTTTTTATCATTTAAAAACAGTCATGATTTAAATACTTTTTTTCATTTCCGTTTATGACGAAACTTGTGCAAATTCGAGGTCCCCTGGCGAAAATAATCCCGTCATTTACAACACCGCAAGCCAAATGTTGATGAGGAGAGTAGCGTATCAGAAACTCTTGGTTAGCAAAGATGTGGTGTTTAAGGATTCATTCAAAGGGCATGTGACTGTTTTTTTTACCGAATGCCGAACTCATGCATTTTAGTAAATGAACGATTGCTTACTATTTTATTAACTTTGGACAATTTCGAATCCACAACCT